TGCAGTGCACGGGGCAGGAGCTGGCCCTGGAGCACTGCGCCCTCCAGACGGGGCACCCCTCACCCTGCCCCATGGAGCGGGTGGCCACCGTCGACTGCGAGGGTGAGTGTGCCAGCGGAGCGGGGTGACACTACCCTGGAGGGGTGCGGGGGGGGGCGAGGTGTCCCCCCGGGGCTGGGGTCACCCCGGTGTCCCCGCAGAGCCCTTCCAGCTGCGGTTGGTGGGTGGCCCCGGGCGCTGCGCGGGGCGGTTGGAGGTGAACCGTGGCGGGCAGTGGGGCACGGTCTGCGACGACGGCTGGAGCGGAGCCAACGTGGCAGTGGTTTGCCGGGAGCTGGGCTGCGGGGCAGCGGGGACGGTTGGTGACCTTCCCAGGGGACCGCCCCGCTTTGGCCCCGGTACTGGGCGCATCTGGCTGGATGACGTCCGCTGCCGGGGTCAGGAGGGGACCCTGCAGGATTGCGCCCACCGCGCCTGGGGCCGCCACGACTGCTCGCACCAGGAGGATGTCGGTGTGGTCTGCCAGGTCTGGGACCCCCCCTCTGCCCCCATGGGGTACCCAGGGCAGCCTGGCAGGACAGGAACAAGCAATGGTCATCCTTTTGTCCCTGCAGGATGCCTGAGCACAGCAGCTCTGCCCCTGGACGGCCTCCAGCCACCATGTCCCCCTGTGGAGCATCCCTCCTGCACCATTCCCTGGGCAGCCCTGGCCCCATGGGGTACCCCATGCACAGCACCCCACAGGAGGCCATAGGCAGCAGCGGGGAGTCCTGCCCCAGCCCCTTGTCCCCCTGTCCAGCCATTAAATGTGGAGAACTGAACGTGTGCTTGCACCGTGCCTGTGCCCGGGGATGTGGCACCCAGCCCCACAGGGCACCATGGGGTCTCTGTGCCCAGGGATGTGGCACCCAGCCCCACAGGGCACCATGGGGTCTCTGTGCCCAGGGATGTGGCACCCAGCCCCACAGGGCACCATGGGGTCTCTGTGCCCAGGGATGTGGCACCCAGCCCCACGGGGCACCATGGGGTCTCTGTGCCCAGGGATGTGGCACCCAGCCCCACGGGGCGGCACAGGGTGCCTGTGCACAGCCATGGGGCCGCAGTGGGGTGAGCGCAGGGGCCCTGCTGTCCCAGGTGTGGGGCTGAGCAGATCCTGGCCCCCTGCCCGTGCTCCCCCCGTGGCCTCTCGACCCTGTTATGAAACAGCTCGTTAGCGCTAATCCCGCAGCCACCTGTCCCCATCCCAGTGCCCTGCCTGCCAGGGGAGGGGACCCGCTCACGGCTCTGCCCGTGCCATGTGGGGCAAGGGCCCAGCTGGATCCTGCTGGGAGGCAGGCGGGGGGCCGGGGACGGTGGGGCAGGAAGTGGGGCAATGGGGCTTGGGGTGCCACGGGGCTTGGGGGGCAGAGGGACTGGGTGTGGAGCAGTGGGATGTAGGGGTGCAGAGGGGTAGGGAGTGGGGCAATGGAGTAACGGGGGCAGTGGGTCAGTGCAATGGGGCACTGGGGACCAGGGATCGAAGAGGGGCAAGACATGGGGCAATGGGACCTACGTGTAAAGAGGGTGTGGGTGCAGCGGGTCCATGGGCTGCAGAGGGGCAGGATGTGGGTCAATGGGACCTATGAGTGCAGTGGGGCCAGAGGGGCAGGCCATGGGGCAACGGGGACCGGGATTGCAGAGGGGCAGCGCATGGATCCCCAGGGACAAGGAGAGCAGTGGGGTGGGGTGTGAGGCAATGGGTCCTAAGGGTGCAGAGGGGCAGGGAGTGGGGCACTGGAGCCCATGGGGGGCAGAGGGGAAGGGAGGGGGGCAATGGGTCCTATG